CTTCTTGTTTCCAAGCCATTTTTTGAGCGCTGCTTTCTTGACTTTAACTGCTAGTGGTACCTCTCGTGTCCACCATGAAGATCTTTTCTGACCTCCGGCGGCAGGCCAACCCGTTTATATCCGCAGCATTCGGCTGCAGCCTCGAGTATGCCGCCCTTAAAGAGCTGCCACACGGTTTCCACATCAGTTGTCATCACCGGAATCTGTTCAAACCGTCGTGCGATGTTGCTTGCAAATTTCGCTGTTGTGTCCACCGAAGATAATGTTCCCCAACTGATTCTTCAGTTGCTTAAACCACCAGATCATCGTATAGTACCCCGTTTCTTACAGCGCAGGGTGCCAACAACAAGGTGATGATCGGTTGATAGCGCTACACCACTCTTAACGCGAACATCCATTACCGAGCGTCTTAAGCCAGACGATACGATTATCAAACCGATCATCGACTCCTGTGCACAAGCGTCACGGTACCAGCTGTACTGATGCACTTTCCGATGCTAGAAGGTGTTCACAGTGGTCAATCCGTTGTATGCACAAAACCACAACAACTTCATGCAGTTAGTGAGGTCGCTAGGGTCGCTTTATTCAATCACGCCGTTCCACTTGTGAGCGTCTATTCAGACATGTGGATTAAAATCGCCAATGAGTATGAGGGAGTCTGTTCGACACTACGGACAGAGCACACTGCACTTCCTCAAGGAAGGTATCATATACTCCTTCCAAATTGGGCGCATAAACCTGTACCAAGATCAACGCTTTAGCCTGTTGTAGCTACAGTCGGAGGATTAATATCCTTCTGCCGACAGGCTTCCAATCAATAATTCTATCCGCGAGGATGGGTTCTATGAGAAGACCAACAGCGGCCTGAGCGCGAGTCGTGATATCGACGCCTGAGTAGAACAGATTTCATCTGTTGAGGTTCAGGAGTCCAGAGCCTTGGCGTTTCGTTGACGAGATTCCAACAATGTCGAGTTGGTAGTTTATGGTCTCATCAACTACTCTTGTTCTTTCCCGCTGAGTGAGGATATGTTCCAATTGCCGACTTTAAGCTCCCAGGGGTAATGTCGTTCTCGTGGACCCTTTTCTGAAGTGCTATAATGGCATCGCGCTGCCTGCCTCCTCCATTCAGAACGGGTAGAGACTCCGTTACTGACTGGTATCTTCGTGGTCGTTCCGTCTGTCTTTGTCAGCCATTGCTGTGCTGCTACGCCCCCGGCTAGCAGAGGGCTATGAGCAGGTTGTGATCGCCGAGTTTTCGCAGTCTGCCTCAAAACACAAAGAGCCTGCGCGGCCCTTGGTAACCCGGGCGACGACCGAACCGGGAAAATTTTCGATGGCGTCAGTGCCATTAGTGGCAGGTGACTAAATCTTATGGAGACTCATCATGGTCTCCAACCCTTCTTTCTCAACCGGGCTTGGGACCAGCA